TAGGGATGAGAAATTGTCATTGTAATCACGGGGATAAGTCTAACCAAGGGTCAATGTAGTTTTCAGTGGTACCTTTAGTACCAACTCGGCTGAGCCGGTCTCCGATCTTAATCTTTACTAGCCGAGCAAGCCCAGCCAGGCTATTTGACATCTCTGTGAAAACAGCGGATGGTCCAGATGGGTTGCAGGAAGTTAATGCAGGAAGACTGGACCCATTTTGATAGACAAGCGTACCCTCTCCTCATTTGCCATAAGGACGAGCCATCAACAGATGGAAGCAGGCTGGCGTCAGTTGAGTAGAGATTCTGCTCTCAGCCCAACAGATTTTACAGCACCCGTGCCAAAGAAAACCTCTACATGTTGGAATTACCTGTCTGGCTCGTGACTACAAACAGCCCTCACAGAAAAATCTCAGCATCTCTGGCTGCTGTTCTCGGGACCTCTTCCTGAAGTCAAGATTCCTTGAAGTCAATTCCTTTATTTGAGCCACAGTCATTTCTCTCTGGCCAGTGCTTCCTGCAGATGTGTCTTTTCAAGAAACTAACCCCGGAAATGGCTTGTGACATACCGTCTGACTCTAACGCGCAAAGAACAAATTGGCTCTCGGGCTCGTTAGATGCCAGATGAACTGATGAACTGAGTTTTTGGTCTGAAGGCTTGATAAGGTCAGACGTCTTTGCAAAAAATAAAAAGCTACCACTTCCTTGGCTTCAGGCAGGTGGTTTTCAAAGATCTTTTCATAATGCCTCCACACCTGTACATTGACTCAACTCTATCGTATGTAGCTTAAGAACATAGACTTGGCTTTATGATAATATAGAGTCCTTTGGTACTGGGGAGCAACGTGGGTATCCAGGGTTGTCAGAGGCATTGGCTTTCAGCTGCATATGCTGATTGCTACATACACTATCAATTTACAACAGAGGTCCTAGGGGGCAAGAGCATGGGGTGGGGGGGGGGGTTGTGGGGGCAGCACTGAGGAGCTAGGACAACAAGAAAAACATGCAGCTATTATTATCAATGATTATTGAGATATGGGTCTTGTCTGGGGGGAGGATAATTGCTTTTTTTCAATTATCTTCCCTAAACTGATCCTATCTGAATATTTTATCTGAGGCTTATGATAAAGCTTATTTCTATATGCCACAACCCTAGATTGCATTTAAGTAGAGAAACGTAAGAAGGGTAAGGGGCTTTGCCTTACAGGAGTCAGTGCCCTCGACCACAGCAGTGAGCCTCAACTCTACAGTCCCTAAAAACATTCTCAGTTCACCCTGAGCCGATGAGGCTCAGAAGACAGACAGTTCCGAAGACAGAATGAAAATTAATTTAGAGCAAGAAATATTACTGCGGAGGTAGTCAGGACTCTAATCACATCTGTGCTCTGCTAGTTCGTGGGTATGTGTAGCTGCATTTGTTTCAAAACATTACTGTATTTGGGGGGGGGGGTGGTTACTACAAGTGTATTTTGATGAGCCTTTACTATTCTACATTGTATTTCGGCCCTCTAAATGGCCTTTTGGGCATGCCATTTAGACATTAACTGACTAGTACAACCCAGGCTACTGCGTGAGGATGTTGCCTACCTCAGCTGTTCAGTTTTGGTGGTGTTGTCCTTTTGCACTGATACTTGTGCAATTGTTTGACTTTTTTTTTTTTCAGTTTCATACTATTTTACGAAAAGTGGAAACTGAAGTGATACATACATACATGATACAGGAGCCACACACATAGATGTCGTTAACCTAATGCAATTGAGTCTTTGGACCAAGTGGGCACAACTTAGGCTTCCAGTAGGCACTTGCCATGAGAAAGAATGAAAATAAAGAACATGTATGAAATGCTGAAAATATGCTATCAACTACTGGGCTAAAGGATTTTCTTGGTAAACTTTAGCTCCTTGAGAACAACTTGCTCCTCATAAGACAGAAGTCTAATGTTGGGAATTTTGCAGGCAATTTTTAGGAACAATTATATTATGGGCAAATCTTAGAGCTTTCTAAGATCTAAACAAACAAACAAACAAACAAACAAACAAACAAAAAGCCCCTTCTCCCCTGAAAGTTTTCTCCCATACTCAAAAGATCTGAAAAACAGTGAGATAGTATCCCTCTAGTCATATTTCAGACAGAAACCTTAAGACAGATTCTTAGGGCATTCTTTTCTCTCCGTCCAGTATACTCCCTTGCCCCCATGAATAGACAGGGACACATTCTTCCACTCCCTGTATCCAGACCCATGAATTCTACCATTCTTTTGCAGACTGGCCTTTCCCCGGCAAGATGCAATGTAATTTCCAATAGTTGCAAAGTGATATTTCCTGGACAGACTTATGTATTTCCTAAGTCTCCCTTAGCACACATTTACAGCCTCACTCAAAGATGGTTATTCCTGGTCATGGGTAAGTAAAAGCATTTTGTGTTGGTTTTCACTAGATTTTCTTTCTTTCTTTCTTTCTTTCTTTCTTTCTTTCTTTCTTTCTTTCTTTCTTTCTTCCTTTCAAGTTTATTCATTTATTATTTCTGAGAGAGAGAGAGAGAAAGCACAAGCAGGGGAGAAAGAGGGAGACACAGAATCCGAAGCAGGCTCCAGGCTCCAGGCTCTGAGCTGTCAGCACAGAGCTGATGTGGGGCTTGAACTCAAAAGCCACGAGAGCATGACCTGAGCCAAGTTAGACACTTAACTGACTGAGCCATCCAGGCACCCCTTCACTATTTTCTAAGAGGATCGCCTTTCCTGAATTTATCCTTAATTTGGATTCATGTATCATTCTCTCTGGCCTGACTAGTCCCGAAAGAAATGTTAGTTTCCTACTAAAGATGGAAAGTGCTTGTAACATTTGGAACCTCAGGTATTTTATATTATCACTAACAAAGACGTCAGTTATCACTAATTATATTACATTTGAGTAGCACTATATTATTTACAAATCATTTTTTAAAATTTATTTATTTATTTTGAAAGAGAGAGAGTGAGCGAGCAGAGGAGGGACACAGTAAGAGATGAGGGAGAGGGAATGAATCCCAAGCGGGCTCTGCACCATCAGCATGGAGCCCCATGTGGGGCTCGAACTCACGAGCCCATGAGATCATGACCTGAGCCGAAACCAAGAGTCTGACACTTCACCAACCGAGCCACCCAGGCGCCCCACGAATCATTTTCACAGCCAGGCCTTCCTGCTCTCTGATTTTGTATCTGGGTACGAGGAAATGGGAAAGAGGCAAAATAATCCCACCATTCCCTCCAACAGTCCTGGTGTTCATACCAGCAAATGCCCCTGCCCTCGGGTTAGGCAGTCATCCCTCAGCCCCATCTAGCTCCTCTTCCAGCAGCAGGGGGTGGGGGGGGGGGGGAGACAATCTTACATGGCATTTTTGAGCTATTCTGCTGAGTCTGGAGAACATAGAAATAAGCATACTTTCAAGTATTCTGGATTCTATGTATTGATCTTATCATTTAACTCTCAGGTGGAAACCTTCTTTTTCTGATTTTCCAATGAATCTAGGGCACATTTCAGGAGATCCCACACACTCGAGACATAAGCCAGTATGTCAATTTACTAATTTGCCATGTTTTTATTCCTTTCTCAGTGACTTGTCTATTGTTTGGGGGCATCCCTTTTTCAGAGTGGGGTATGTGGGTGGAAGAATCAGGTATCAGGGACATGTATGGAATTGGGGAAAACAGACTTGATTTCAGGCTCAGAGAGATATTTGACCTGAGCCTTTGAAAAACTTAACGGGAAACTCTTGAGCTGATAACATACCTCTCCAATGCAAAAACACTTGAAAGAGATCTGTTCAGAGGGCCCCGTGAAGGATGTTGATTAGTTTTAGAGACTTAGAAGAAGGACAATCAGAAGTGTGATCCCATGGGCTTGCCCACTGTCTGGGGGAAGAGGGGAGCAGCTGGGCACTCTGGGACTTTTCAATTGCAAAGAAATCCATAATGTAGAAACAGCTAAATGGGAAGAGTATAGTTATTAGACTCTATTTTTGCCACTGTTGGTAAAATTATTCCTATTATCAGATGGATGCCTTGGGATGTTTTGGCCCAATTCTATTAACCTTCCATTGATTGAGGCCTCTTGTTCTGATTCCCAGGACACCCATTCCCCTTCTGGTTAATACTTGGCTTTTCCCTGTAAGTTTTCAGGTAGGGATGATGTGAACGGCCAGCAACCTGTTTCTTATGGCAACAGTGTCTCAAGAGGAACCAACAGATCGCTTCTGATGGTGGCAGAGCTTCCCATAGAGTCCAGGGAGATAATCACACCGGTGTGGTTGCTTATTCTGGTCCATTGTATTTTTAGTAAGTTTGTCATTCTTAGAGGATACCCTAAGCACATCTGCATGTTGGTTGATGTCACCCACGAACACAGATAGGAGCAAATTTCTGGTATTTCAAAGCAGAGCACCAGCTCTTTCTGGAGGTACCAACCATCCTGGGTTCTATCTGACTTTCCCACCTACTATTTTTCAACTGATTTCTACAGGTTGTGTGTCCGTCTCTTCTCCATTTGGTTAATCTGAGTAAATTCCTGAGGGTCGGCTTTGTCCTGGAACAAAGATGAAACTTTTTTTTTTTTTTTTTTTGACTTGTAGGACTTATGGTCGAATGTGGTGACCACACCTGGAAACCCGAGGCCAGCAGCTGGGCTGGCTGGCCCCTCCCCCCTCATTAGCATCTCTGTTTCCTTGACCTCTAACCAAAACATGTGGCAAATGAAAAAAAAAATGAAAGGACATATTTTCTGGGACACACATGACAACAGGAGTAACTTGTTTCGTTTGCTGAAACATGGCAGAAAATTAAAATGGATCTTCAATTAATTGGCATTGAATTATTTTCTGATTTATAAATTATCTGGTAGCAATTTTAATGTTGGTTACCTATCAGTGAAGGTAAAAGGTAGCAAATATACATATAAAAGGCATTCTGTTGTGAACACCAGAGAAATAAAAGATCATACATATAAAATAAGACTGGGTTAAAGCTGTTGCCTTTTAAGGGTAATAAAGAATTCTCCAGTATTTGGGAACAGGGGCTACATTTATATTTATTGCAGTTGGCCGAAATGGGAGTAGTCTATGGTATCTTAGTTCCTTAACATAGCTTCCTTTAAATCTACTTGAAATTAGGAAAAGAAATTTTACTTGTTTATAACAAAGTTCAGTGAAGTTGAAAATTGACATTAAAATTTACAAATTTAAAGTAAAGGCCCAAATTTCTGAAATTCCTTGTCACATGAAAGTGGTGCTCTCTCTTCTAGCTTTTTTTTTTTTATGATGATGTTTTTTATTTTTATAGCATGTATTAGAAGTAATAGGACACAATGAACAACGCAATGAGAAGTTCGTTGTAAGATATAAATATAGGCCAGATTTCCATTTCACCTTGGTGTCCTGAGTTACACAGACTAGGGATTTGGCTCAGTGACTGAAACAAAACAAAAGAAAACAACACAATCCTAGCCAAATGTCTTCTAGCTTTTGAATGCTTCGTGTAAGCCTGGGCCTTTGAATTTCACTGCAGTTCAGCGAATCTAACCCATTCATTACCAAGGGTGTCCTTTGGAGGTTTTGGACCGGGATGGGGGACAGTCAGGAGGTGGGGGTGGGCATTAGTGATGACTTTGCAGGGTAGACCTTCTGGCTTCTAAGCAGCCTTCAGTGGAACGCCCGTCCTGCAGTTCTGTCCTGTGCTCTGTCTGGTTAGGTCATGGGCATTCTTCTTGCTGTCGGGAACAGTATGGACAGTCAGTTTCTGACCTTTGATGTCTTAGGCTCTTTAGAGGGCTGGTGAGATCTTTGGGAAGAGGATGGAGAGAACTGTAGCTGTCCCAGTTATTTTGGTCCGTTTTTATTCCCAGGGATACATTCAGATTATGATGGCAAAATGGATTACTTATTAATTGGTTTGGGCCAGGTTACATACTGAGATCATGCTCATGCCAGATGACTGGAACTTTCCCCCAAGGACTTTCCTGAGAATAAAGTCTTTGCTTTCTCTCATTGAAACCTAGAGTAAGCCATAAAGAAATAAACAAACACTCCCTATTGATAAACAAAGAGAAAATATGCCCCTGGCGTAAGGGGCGTGCCATGAGGCTCTTTCTAGCATTCTGTCAACTTCAATTAACAAGAAAAGCTACAGTGTTCATTACTCTTAGGTTACAAAATGGAAAGTGATTATTAACTGCTCTTAAGGGGAACTGTAATTACTGTATCACCAAATGCAGATAAGAGTATGCTGTTTCTCCTCCGCCTTCACTTTAATGTGCTGGAGATTCCAACATATCTTCACACTGTTCTAGTTTAAAGAGTTTCCAGTGATCCACTATGCACCCAGGAACAAGAGCAGCACTTCTCTACCTAAAATAAACAAGTAGACACTCTTAGGAGTGGAGTGGAGACCTTGAAAGGTCTTGACCGAGGCTTAGTTGTTAGTGACCCAGTGGTGAAGCCAGGAAACTCTGGGGCACTTAACTTTATCCTGAATAGCAATCAGTGTCACGTCTGCATTCATGAGCTCAAACAGTCCTAGAGACTCAACAAGCTTAAGTGGTCTGACTAATCAGGTGACTGGGAAGGGCTCATTCACCCTGGCTGCGGTCACCCTCGTTATTCATTTTGTGTGAGGGAGACACCGATGTCTGTATAACTGTGAACCGAGCACGTCAAGAGTGTGTTCAGTTCACATCAGCGTCTTTGCATTTTGTTGTCGCTGTTAACCAAGAAGGTATAATGTGTTTCTCTGCTGAATATCCCAGTTAAACTCAGGTAGTGAAATAACTGAATTTGGAGAGATCGCCAAAGTACTCCTGTGTTAACACCAACTTAAGAGCCTACCAGACTCTTACTCGAAGGGCTACTGAGGAATCCAAAGAGGAGAGTCAATGCAAGAGGGCTGCTTGAGGATTTCAGGAAAGGCTTCTAGGAGGACGACAAAGAATTAGGTAACAAAGGGGGGGTGGGGTGGGTGAATGAGGGGGAGAAGTCATCCCAAGCCAAGGTGATGGTAGGAGGAAAGACAAGCTATTAAGAAACAGCAGTGGAGCAGTGTTCTTGGTTGACGTCATTTTAAGAGTTCAGAATCCTGGAGAGCCTGGGTGGCTTAGTTGGTGAAGCATCTGACTCTTGATTTCGGCTCAGGTCATGATCTCATGGTTGGTGGGTTTGACCCCTGCCTCAGGTTCCATGCTGACAGTAGGTAGCCTACTTGGGATTCTCTCTCTTTCTTTCTCTCTCCCTCTCTTTCTGCCCCTCCCGTACTAGCTCTCTAACACTCAAAAATAAATTGAGAAAAAAAAAAAAAGAGTTCAAAATCCTTTGCTGAACCATTTTCCCTGCTTTAGCAGCCTTTGGCAGGGCAGAAAGTCCTACTCAGGCAGTGTGAGCCTGTCCCAGGTTGCAGAGGGATTTAGTAGCATGGCTGGATCTGGGTCATAGCAGTAAGCAGGTGCAATCTCAGCTCTTGCACTCCATGGGGGGCAAGTGTCCCCCAGGAGAAGAGTCAACGGATGCATTCTAAGCAGTTACAAGTTTGCACCTCTGAAATAAAACAAGGGCCCCATGGCGGGGGGGCAAATACAGAACTTCAAGAAATCAAGGTAAAACGTTTTTTTAGCTTTATCCACTTTGTTTTCACCATCCTGTTTTTTGTCCACCCTCACTCTGGGTTGAGAAGAAAAAAGGCAGAGCCAGGACACTTTGACAGCGATGACATATGATGGTATCTAGAGCTTCATTACTGAGGAAGTTAGTTATAGGTTGTCCATTCTGGTGTTTGGATTCCTCCCCATCCTCCTCCCCCCACCCCCCCCATCTCACTTAACCATTTTCTCCAGCTGTTGTTGGTAAGGAAATGATAAACACGTGCATAGCTTAAGTATGACAATATTATACAGAGTGCATTTTTGCTGCTGCTAGATAAACTAGGCTCATGTATTGTAAAACCACAATGGGCAAGACACATCCCTTCCCTGAAATCGCGTATTTCCGTCTGGCTCTCCTATTGAGATATTTCCTCCTGCACTTCTTAGGTGGCCCCACCACAGAAGGCGGTTGCCATATCAAAGGACAGTTCAGTGAAGAGCTGGCATGCAAAAATCCGGAAGACTGTCTCCTTCTGTGTTCTTCTACTGGCCCTGAACCTGGGGACTCCGTCTACCCTTCTCTCTGGAAGCTGAGACAAAGGATCTCCGCAGCTCACGGATTGCTCGCTTCGTGCACGACACAAATCAGATCTAAGCACTCCGTCCACCCTCAGGTCTTTCTTCGGCCGTCACACACTGTGGCTTCTCCCTTCCTCCAAAGCCAGGTGGAAGGAAGGCGAAGCTGGTACCAGGTGTCACAGTGACATTCAGCACTGAATAGAAGATACACTCGCTTTTGAAATTTCAACAAAACAAAACGATCCTCTCCTATTTTTCGGCCTTTTTGCTCCGTGCACAATTGAACGCAAGTTGATCTGGATTGGCCTTCTTAGTTTGCCTTTCACTGCCACGTTTCAGATTAAGGTTGGATGTATGAGCACGGGACCAAAAGAAGGAGAACACCATTGCCTGAGGCGTTTGCTTCAAGATGGTTAACTGGGCAAGTTCTATTCTTCACTAACGGCGGAAGGCGTGTTGTTATCTCATCCCTCCCTATTTCTGGGCTGCTCGGATCCTTGCACTGGCCTGGCACCGGCCGTGGCTTTCCCTGGACACTGGAGGTGGGTGACCAAGGTGCAGAGCCTGAGGAATGAGGCTGTGGAGGGGGCTCCAAGTTCGGGAGAGAAAAGCCATGCCTGGAAACTGCAGCTGAGAGCACCATTTCTGTATTTCTGGCTTCACCCTCTTGCACATTCTTCAGCGTGCAAAGGGGAGCATTGTTTATCCACGCACATATTGGACTCTTGTTCCTCTTATCTGGTCTTCGTAACTGTCTGCTCGATTTTCATTTCTCTTCCCCGTGGTTTGATTAATTGCTTCTCTCTTGACCCTGAAGCCATGGGCTTGTTCATGCCAAAACGCTGACCCCCACAGCGATGTGCCTGGCGGATGAATAGATCTGCCACACGGTCCTCCTTGTCTCGGTTAGCGACAGATCATCAGAGGGACTGTTGGCTCTGTGCTGTGGTGGGAACAAAAGACGTCTCTGTTGCTCAGTTGTTGTCTAGCTCGGTCAAGGAAACAGTTTCTTTGGTGTAGGCAAGGTGAAGTTTTATTGAAAGAAGTATCTAAGATTACAATATTGTCAATTAAATAGTCATTTGATTGCTTATCTGCCTTTCTTTATAAACGTGTACTTGGTGATGTATTCCTGAAAAATGTGTATTTTCGAACTTTAAAAAAATTGAGGCACCTGGGTGGCTCAGTCAGTTAAGCGTCTGGCTCTTGATTTCAGTTCACGTCGTGATCTCCTGGTTTGTGAGTTCAAGCCCCACATCGGGCTCTGTGCTGGCACTGTGGAGCCTGCTTGGGATTCTCTCTCTCTCCCCTGCCCCACTCTGTCTCTGCTCCTCCCCAACTCTCTCTCTCTCCCAAAGTAAATAAATAAACTTAAAAAAAAATATTATAGGGGCGCCTGGGTGGCGCAGTCGGTTAAGCGTCCGACTTCAGCCAGGTCGCGATCTCGCGATCCGTGAGTTCAAGCCCCGCGTCGGGCTCTGGGCTGATGGCTCAGAGCCTGGAGCCTGTTTCCGATTCTGTGTCTCCCTCTCTCTCTGCTCCTCCCCCGTTCATGCTCTGTCTCTCTCTGTCCCAAAAATAAATAAAACGTTGAAAAAAAAAATTAAAAAAAAAATATTATAACTACCAACACAGAGGTGCTCTTTAAGACTGGTTAAATGAAAAAAATTTAAGTGAATAGTCCCTCTTTAATTTAGTTTCTAAAAAAAAAAAAAAAAAAAAACAAGTATACTAAAGGTTAAATTTGTTTAAAGCAAGGACAACCTGAATCGTGACACGTGTCACGTAGCATCACCAAAGCCGAGGTGCGAATACTCCATGGCTGTGCTTATCTGTGTCTATTTACTCAGGCTGAGTTTTACACAGTCCCTGAATGCGGTCAACCAGCTACTTCTGTCCTGCCGGCAGATATCTCCTGCCAGTGACTCAGTATGACTTTATTTATTTGAGGTTTGGAGTAAATGTTATCAGGGTTCAAATGACTCGAGGCATTGTTCGTCCGACTGGAGGCAGAATCGACGCCCCGTGACCTTTAGCACACCTACCTGTGAGTAGTTCTTAGCACATCATTCAATACAAGGTTGTTCCCTGGAAAATTACTGTCCATTTAGACACACTTTATCTTCATGGATGTGACTCCTATGTCTGATGAGGGAGAAGTGCTGTGCGAAGGGCACACTGTGGCTTGCTCATGTTGGATGGGTTCCTGCTTCATTAGCATTTTGCCAGGGTGAGCCAAGAGAGGAGGACGACAACATTAGTGACACTTCAACATCCAAATGCGCTTTGCCCCCTTTCTAATGATGGGATTTAGCCACGGGCTCCAATTAAATCGCAAAATGCTACGGCACAATTTTCTTGAAATGTGTTCCAAGCAAAATCCAAATGTCCCTTTGAGACTAAATTCTTTGTCTCTTCCTACGTCAAACCTGAGAACTAGGTTAGAATTGGAGTAACAATTTGTTAGGAACTTTTTGAACCTACCCCAGTTTACGCATAACGTGGTCTTCCAGTTTTACGGGAGTAACGACAGAGAGTTTTATTAAAATGGGACGTGATAAAGGGGCTAAGTAATCTGGTCCTTGTCTAGGCTGCTCCATCATCTGGGAGGGTCTGTGCCGTGTGTTCCGAAGGGTGATGAAGACTGTGCCCCTGAGATCCTTCCCAGACCAGAATGGGACACCCCAACCACCAGCTCAGTCATCAACCCTCAGTGCAAATGGTGCTACACTCTGGGGTGTGATTTTGCCAAGGAAGGTGAGTGACCCCGTAGACAGTGCTTCCTGTCTCAGAATTACTCGTCGGTCCATTCCTGCTCTCCAGGAGTATGAATGCCTATGATTTCCCATTTTCCATTAGTTGGTTATTCAATCAATTCATTCATCCACATTTCCCTGGGTCTGCTGAGCCCATAACACTGTGCTCCATGTTGGAAATGCCAAGCCGAACCCTGCATGTTCTCCAAGAGTGCACAGTCTAGCGGGATGAGGCATCTGTGTGTGCAGGCAGCAGGCATAGCCTCTTTGAGAAGTGCTGTGACAGAAATATGGACAGGGCATCAAAGCAAATAAAGCAGGTGTCAGTATGACGAACTAATGGTTGATTTGTATGCCAACCACTATGGGCTAGAGCTGAGACATTCTTCAGAATCACTCATTGCTCAGGATTGGACTTTGCTTTTCCTATGCCAGTGACACATGTGGACAGATGTGGACAGGAGGAGGGGGCTGTTCTTGGAGGAATTGGCTTTGTTATAGTGTCTACCCCGAAAAAAATGAAGACTGAAGATACAAGGCATACACCTCATCCTACCTAAATGGGGAGTTATTTTTTAGACAATTTCTACTTTAAGGTATTTAAATCTTAAGGTATCATCTCGGAGCACCTGGGTGGCTCAGTCGGTTAAGCGTCCGACTTCAGCTCAGGTCATGATCTCACAGTTCGTGAGTTTGAACCCCGCGTCGGGATCTGTGCTGATGGCTCAGAGCCTGGAACCTGCTTCGGATTCTGCGTCTCCCTCTCTCTCTGCTCCTCCCCCACTCATGCTCTGTCTCTCCCTCTCAAAAATAAAATGAACATTAAAAAAAAGACATCATCCCAAGACATATCCTTAGATATGGACGGATAAATTGTTAGTAAATTTGTGGATGTGTCATGAAGTCAGGATGTCAAACAGTACATCCGAGGATTTGGAAGTGGGAAAAATTTTTCAGCCACCAAAGTTATGCATATGGAAACAGAGACACACGAGGAAATATAGCAAAAATCCCACCAACATCAATTGAAATGGAAATCACCTGGGTAGAAAGAGTCATAATTAAGGGAAATGCCTGCATTACAGATTAAGAAAAGTTTTTTTCACGTTTATTTATTTTTGAGAGAGAGACATAGAGTGCGAGCAGGGGCGGGGCAGAGAGAGAGGGAGACACAGAATCTGAAGCAGGCTGCAGGCTCTGAGCTGTCGGCACAGAGCCCAACACGGGCCTCGAACTCACAAACCGTGATATCGTGACCTGAGGCGAAGTCGGTGGCTTAACCGACCGAGCCACCCAGCTGCCCCTGCATTACAGATTTTAAAAATGAACCCAATTATTATTATTTACGTACTACTGAATTGGCATTCATCCTTTGCCAGCCTACGTTATCGGGGTGGGAGCGTGTTGCACGTGTGTGTGTGCACATGCATGCACACTGTGTCCTCCCTCCTTATCTAAAATGCAAGCTCCTGCATAAGGAATACAGTCAATGATATCGTAACAGCCATGCAGTGGGACAGATGATGGCCATACTCCTGGTGAACAGGTCTAGACTTGTCCAGTCGCTAAGTTATCCCCGTGAAGCTAACATAACCTTGTGCATCTGCTATGTTAAGAAAAAGTGCAGACCTTAACAAAAACATACAAATAAATAAAAATAAAATGTAAGCTCCTCGAGGGCAGGGGTTCATCGAATCCCTAGGACCTATGTGTTGAGCGAGTGCCACTCTTCCTGCTGCAGCTGCTTTTGGCCACTCTGCACCCAAATCAATGGTTAAAATCCTGCCAACTAAGACCTGAGCAGGTGTCTCTTCACTTCCATCCCCAGCTCCTTCTGGGGACATTGGCGCATCATTATGATGCTTTTGCTCACAGGCCCCTGAGTACTGGGAGGAGGACAGGAAGGGTTTCATCTTCTCTCTTGCCTCAGGAGAGCCCTGTAGTAACGTTTTCCAGGCTTCTGAAGGGGAACAGAGCCGGATGATGGCTGTTATGATAGCACAGTGTGTATGTGATGGAAAGCATGAATCCGAAGGAATTTGGAATGCACATAATGGAGTAATAAGGATAAATAGTTCAATTTAATCTGGTAAAGGAGCATCTAGTCGGAGGATCTGGAAAAGGCTTGATGATGTCAATGAAGACAGGGTCACAGCAGGGTTCCCAGGGCAACCAAGTGCATGTATCAGCCCAGTATGAAAAGTTGCCAGGGCACCCGGCGGTGAATCCAAAAGTTAATCATTTTCATTTGCAATCAGGTGCAGTGACAAAACATAAAGTGCAGTCACACTGCCTAGATGTTTATGGGGAAAGCCACCAGTCCCCGTGAGCACTGCCTCTCACCCCTTACACTTAGAATGGAAGTTGCCGGAAGATAGGGGCTTCTGCTTCCGCTCACGTCACTCAGTACTTGACAGGTAGTGAGACTCCGAGGGTTGG